TGTTGGGGTTGGAGAGGGGGCCGAGAAGCATGGAGCGGTAGAGAGCGACGGCGAGGTGGGGGCGGGGGCCGTGCGCGAGGGAGCGGATGGTGGTGTTGTAGGAGAAGGTGGAGGGGTGGGCTCGGAGGAGGGAGAGCGCGTAGGGGAGGGAAGAGTTAGCGGCCGACGCGGCGAGCGGGGCGGCGGCTGAGGGGTCGGCGTCGAGGGCGCCGGAGCGGAGGAGGCGGGCGTGGAGAGCCCTGTTCGAGAGTGTGCCCGCGGTGGTCGGCGGCGGCATCGGCGGCGGAGGTGGACCTCCGGCGGCGGTGGATGCAAATGATGTGGGTACCGCTTCATCAGCTGCTTGCGGATGCTGCATGCGTAGCCATGTCTACTGTCAGAACACAGCCTGAATTCCCATTTTTTAACACGGCCTGAATTCAGAAAACGAAGCAATGCACGTATGTTTTATGTGATTACATTTGTTGTAAATAATAGTCTTTGCAACTTTCTTTTACAACACTGTATATCAATTGAAAGGTCGAGCTGCCCCGTGTCGTCCTTGGTGACTCGGGTAGCGTGCAGTGACCAGAATGACCACCACCTCCCTCCGCCCCTTCTCTCGGCGCCATCATATGGCACCACCGCAAAGCCGCCCAACAACGGCGGGGCAATGCTTGTTTCAGGCGAGGCGTGATGCTCGGTCCAGGCAAGAGGATGAGTCGTGTCGTTCCTATCTCCGGCAAGGTCTTGGCAAGCCCTCCCTGATGACGGAGATGGCGCTTCCCTCAAGCTCGGGCATTGTCTAATCTCCGAGAGGTCAAAAATCCTCCTCCCCCCCCCACCTCGTGGGATTCCATTACATTCTATGGTCCTGCTTCGCCGTTGCCACGGAGTGGTTGTCTTCACATTTAAGGTCCTCAGACCGGAACCAAGCATTAAGTTTGATGGGTCACCGTTATCTCTTATTGTATTTGGTCCTCATAGATGTCTCCACCTATCACGTCAGAGATTGGAGATTTTCTAAACAATATGTGTTACATGTCTAGTTCTGAAGATCATGTTGCATGCGCCGTTAAATTGGACAACTCACATAGAGTTCACCACAGTATAATAACTTACTAGACAGATCATAAGACTACAAACACAAATGACGACATATAGATCTGGCACAAATGAATCTCTCGTGACAGGGGCGAAACTCAAGGCGACGCCGCGACGTCCCCAGCTCAAGCTACAAACACAAATGACGTTGAGACCCTTGGCGTGCACAAAACTTCGCCCGGAGACCCCATTGACAATCACTTTGGTGCTTGCGGTCCTAAGCAAAATGGAGATCTAACCACACCACTTCTGGCTGAAACCCTTGCTCCTCATTGCATCGAAAAGGAAGGGCCAAGCGAGGGAATCAAACACCCGAGAAATGTCAAGTTTCGGAAAGGCGCTAGCCTCCTTCCGAGCGTGTATCTTCCTTGCAACTTGCCTGACCAGCAGAAAGTTGTCATGCAAGTGCCTCCCGCAAAATGAAAGATGACTGATTGGCCGTGACAATTTCCTTCATTCTTCTGTGTGCTCTATTGGCTAGCATTTTGGCGAAAATCTTAGCCACGCTATGAGGGAGACTGGTCGGGCAAAAGTCCCCCACCTCCTCTGCGTCTGGTTTCTTCGGGATGAGCACGATATGTGCACGGTTCAGCTTCCCAAAACCACGCCCATCACCTACATAGAGCTTGAGGATAACAGTCATGATCTCATTCTTAATGATAGGCCAGGCCTTCTGGTAGAAAGCCACGGAAAATCCGTCCAGCCCCAGTGCCCGCTGTGGGTGCATCTCCTTAATCGTGTTCGAGACTTCATCCTCCGTGAGAATGGCATCCAACTCTGAGAGATCATGCACTTCCATGTCTAGAAAGCAAGCTCAGGTCCACGTCAACCTCCTACTTTATAATCTCAAACTCTGACAATTAGACAACCATCAACCCTCCTCTCCTATGTGTTGTTTGACCGGTTTTCCCTTGTTGGCCGCCTCTCAGCAGTCAACTCAGCCGTCACGCCACTAAAAAAACTCAACCGTCATGTCACACGTACCTGTAAACCATGTAATTCTAAATTGTTAAGAGAAAAATGATTAAACTCCCCTAGATCGACATGCTAGTGTTAATTTATTTTAGAGATTTTCAAACAAATGAGACTTTTATGTTTTTTTAATTGGTCCTGATTAAGTTTTTTTTCCTCGTAATTTTTAAGACATTTGGAAAAAATATTGAAAATTTCTCGGAATGATCAACATAGTAGTGTTTACTTTTGAGAAAAATTTCAAATGTCTCTAAGCACTTTCATTTTTGGTTCAAATTTTGACCAAATTTTGTCCTGAATATGCATTTTCCTTGTAATATTTAAAATTGTGGCAAAATCAATTGAAACTATAATAGAATGATCAGCATGGTATTGTTCATTTTTTTGAATTGTTCAACTTTTTCTTGGCACTTCTGTATTTTGGTCAAAATTGATCAAAATTTATCCCGGATATTTATTATCCTTGCAACTTTTAATCTGTTTGGCAAAAAATATTGGACCTTTGCAAGAATGATCATGATAGTATTGTTCGTTTTCGCGAAAAAAATTAAATGTTTCTAGGCACTTTCATTTTGGGGTGAAATTTTGACCATAATTTGTCATGAATATGCATTTTCCTTGTAATTTTAAGTTGTCTGGAAAAAAATGGTTGAAACTTTACCAAAATGATCAACATAGTACTATTCATTTTGGTTTTTTTTTTTAAATTCTGTGTACTTTCATTTTTTGGTCAATTTTTTATATGAATATGTTTGGCAAAAAGTATTGAAACTTTGCCAGAGTGATCAGCATAGTAGTGTAATTTTTTTCTATTTTTTCTTGGGTCTTTCATTTTTTATCAAACTTTGACCAAAAAGGAGCTGAGGTGACAGCTGACTAGATGGTCAGCTGGTCAGAACAGCCCAGAAAACTGGTTAGAGGAGAGATGAGTTGGTAGTTGTCCGGTTTTTTAGAGTTTGGGGTTGTAAACTAAATGATATGATGTTCGGTGTTGTTTCTTACACTTCCATGATAATTCAGAGTTGTAATATATATTTCTTTCAATATTCTTTTCAACTTTCTTACAACACTGTATATCAGTTGTAAGGTCAAGCTGCCCCGTGTCGTCCTTGGCAACTCGGGTGGCGCTTCATGACCAGAACGGGCACCACCTCCCTCCTCCCCCCCCCTTGGCGCCACCAGAAGGCATCACCGGTAAAGCCGCCCGCACAACGGTGGGGTAGTGCTTGTTCCAGGTGACTTGGGACGCTTGATCTAGGCAAGGAGGCGAGCCGTGCCATCCCCGCATCTAGCATGCCCCCCTCGGTGACATGGAGGACGCTCGCTGGCGACTCCGTGGACATCGCAGACTCAAGCTCAGGTGTTGTCTAATCTCTGGGAGTTATAACCCCCCTCCTCATCCGCACCAGGCCACCAGAAAACCCTTTTCCACACCTCTGGCGGCCATGCCATGGTGGGGTGTAATGGCCTCGACTCGAGCTCACGGATGTGCTGCTTCGTGGGTGGAATTGAATAGATTTTTCAGTTGCCTAAGCAATATGCAGCAATTGAGCATAAAAGCAGGATATGTCTCGATAATTCAATTCAGAGCACATGCACATCTACACCCGTTGAACAGTAAAATCAAAATAAATAGTAAAAAATTCAAAAAAAATCTAGAGCTTTTTTCATGCATGATGCTTGAGTGTGCCAGGTGAGCGCTACAATTCATGGGCAAACAACATTCAAGGAGCTCGTGCCAGAAAAGACAAAATCAGCTATGAACATTAGTTTTTCAAACTTTCTCACATTTTTTTAAAAAGGGAGGACTCTCCGGACTCTGCATCAGAATGATGCATGCGGCCAAAATTAATAAATAAGCAAACAAGGTTCAACAAGGTCTTAAAGTCTCAAAAGAAAAAAAAGAGAAATGCTCACAAAGAGCCAAATAGCTGTTGGGGATCGTAGCAGAAATTTAAAATTTTCTACGCATCACCAAGATCAATCTATGGAGTAATCTAGCAACAAGGGGAAGGGGAGTGCATCTACATACCCTTGTAGATTGCTAAGCGGAAGTGTTCAAGTGAATGGGGTTGATGGAGTCGTACTCGTCGTGATCCAAATCACCGATGATCCTAGCGCCAAACGGACGGCACCTCCGCGTTCAACATACATACGGTTGGGAGACGTCTCCTCCTTCTTAATCCAGCAAGGTGAGAGGAGAAGTTGAGGGAAAACTCCGACAGCACGACGGCGTGGTGGTGATGGAGCTCGTGGTTCTCCGGCAGGGCTTCGCCAAGCACTACGGAGGAGGATGAGGTGTTGGAGGAGGAAGAGGGCTGCGCCAGGGGAAGGGTTCGGCTGCCATCTCTCTCCCTCACTATATATAGGGGGAAGGGAGGAGGGGGAGGCGCCCTAGGGTTCCCTAGGGGAGGGGCGGCGGCCACAAGGGAAACCCTAGATGGGTTTGGGCGCCCCCACCCCCTAGGAAACATGTGTTGGGGAACGTTGCAGAAAACAAAAATTTTCCTACGGTTTCACCAAGATCCATCAATGAGTTCATCTAGCAACGAGTGATTGGTTTGCATCTACATACCTTTGTAGATCACGCGCGGAAGCGTTCAAAGAACGGGGATGAGGAAGTCGTACTCGACGTGATCCAAATCACCGGAGATCCTAGCGCCGAACGGACGGCACCTCCGCGTTCAACACACGTACGGTCAGCGTAACGTCTCCTCCTTCTTGATCCAGCAAGGGGGAAGGAGAGGTTGAGGAAGATGGCTCCAGCAGCAGCACGACGGCGTGGTGGTGATGGAGCTGCAGTACTGCGGCAGGGCTTCGCCAAGCACTATGGAGGAGGAGGATGTGTTGGAGAGGGAGAGGGAGGCACCAAAGGCGTGGGTTGAGAGGCCCTCCTTTCCCCACTATATATAGGGAGTCCAAGGGGGGAGGCGCCGGCCCTAGGAGATCCAATCTCCTAGGGGGCGGCGGCCAAGGGAGGAATCCCTCCCCCCCAAGGCACCTAGGGGGTGCCTTCCCCCTTTGGGACTCTTCCCTTCTTGAACCCTAGGCGCATGGGCCTCTTGGGGCTGGTGCCCTTGGCCCATGTAGGCCAAGGCGCACCCCCTACAGCCCATGTGGCCCCCCGGGGCAGGTGGCCCCACCCGGTGGACCCCCGGGACCCTTCCGGTGGTCCCGGTACAATACCGGTGACCCCGAAACTTGTCCCGATGGCCGAAATAGCACTTCCTATATATAATTCTTTACCTCCAGACCATTCCGGAACTCCTCGTGACGTCCGGGATCTCATCCAGGACTCCGAAC